GCAGTCAGCCCCGGACTTTCAGTCATATTAACCTCCAAGTCTGAGACCGTTCCCAATTCGAAGCCATGAAGTAGCCTAGCCAATGTTAAGTGCAAGACCTGAAGTGCGAATGTGATCCCAGGGCATATCCTCCTGCCAGATCCAAATGGTATAAATTCAAAATGGTGACCCTTGACATCCAAATCTATCTGATCCACAAGAAACCTCTCGGGTTGAAAATCTAAGGGGTTGGACCAAATGTTTGGGTCACGGTGCAGCTTCCAGAGGTTAACTAACAGGCGTGTGCCAGCGGGGATGTGGAAGCCAGCCACGGTGCAGTCTTCCATGGCTTCACGTGGCGCTGACAATGGCAGGGCAGGGTATAGCCGCAATGTTTCCTTAACAATGGCTTGTAAGTATGCAAGATTTTTTATATCAGATTCATCCACTTGGCGGTTCTTGCCCACGTGGATGTCCAACTCATCAAAGAGACTCCTGTCGTTTCATTGCCGCCTAAAATCATACTCTACAAACAAGCATCAAATAAATTCTTGGTGATGATTTGGTTAGTATGCACATAAAGTACTAGCAGTGTTCATGTAGTTATAAGAACTAGTACCAGCAGTTGTTATATTGATCATCCTCTTGTCACAACTTTTAATCAATGATGGACCTAGAGGGCGGCGAGATGGGGTGACGCATGTGGATCAAAGTATAGAGTTTAACAATTTGGAAAAAAATATAAGAAAAAAAAGAAGTTTCTCACAACTAGTGTCGATAGAATATTTTACAATTGTTATCTTTTGTAACTCAACATAAATATAAGAAAACATGTTTGTTTATATATGTTTATGTTATTTTTCACATTTTATGCTGGTAAAAATTGATGTTGTAGTCTATACATATAAATATATTTTAAAATTTTTGTTAGTATATATATGTTCGGCCCCATATGCTAGAATCTGGTTCCATCCTTGCTTGTAATCACCTACATATTGTGACTGAAACCAACACAATTTATAGAATTTTGCTGATAAACTTCATTCTCTGATTACTTTTCGGTTACTTTTTCAGGTCTTCAACTTTTTTCAAAACTGTTGGTGAGTTCATGTTATTCAATCAACAGGGAATTCTAGGGACATACCAAGCAAGTGGCCTTGATGACAGTATCGGTGTCATGGCCATGGGAAAGCTGACTCTCCTCCATGGCAGACATCAGGACATCGATGAAGTCTTGCTCCCCCTCATCGATGCTTCCAGCAACTCTCTTTCGCTGGTGTTCCTCCACCCAGCTTCCAAGCACATCATCCACCTCTCTTGCAGATCTCTTCATTTTGCCCCTATATCCATTCAGCACATCAAACCAACCAAGAAATGGAATTGCATCAGAAATCAGAAGCAAGCCCACTAGATGCATAAAATCTCCCAAAGCCTTCTGGCATCTCCTCGACTCCTCGTTGCTGCTTCTACTGTTGCCAACATGCCGGTAATTCTTATTAACAATTCTTAGCATTATTTTCATTACCACGTCCCCGAACTTCTCCTTCATTTCCACCAACACCGGTTTCCTACTCCCTTTCCGACATGCTTAAGAATCTCAAGTCTATGGCTTGATAGGAGCTCAATCATTGCTAGCTTGCGTAAATCGCGCCAGTATGGTCCATAAGGAGCGAAGCCAAGCACGGCGTGGTCATAGGCCATGAGCTTTAGAGCTAAAGATTTTGGTCGGGTTGAGAAGATTTTATCATTTGTGGTGAAACACTCTTTTGCAACTTCCCAGCTACTAACCACAAGAGCTTGCTTAATGCCTAGACGGATAGAGAAGGCCGGTCCATAGTTATCGGCCATGGCGCCCAACGTTCGATGCAGTAGCTTGTTTGCCCCGAGAAGACGGAGGTGACCGATGAGAGGCCACGCTCCGGCTGGCTCTGGAGGTGTTCTGTCTCTCTTCTTGTGGAGCTTGGATTTGGCCATAATCATATTGAGACAAACAACAATGAAAACAAGTCCAAGAACCGTGAGAGCTTGAAGCTGAAGGTAAGACTCCATGCTTCACAGTTCAACAAGAGATCATTCAAAACCTTATTCTTGCACTAGTGTTTTATATGATTTATTGATTGTACCACATCTGTTGTCAGTGTCTTGATGTTTATTTACCCGTTTGTGGACAAGTCCAAGAACCGGTTTGTGGCCACACAATAATAAGGGTAAAATTTTTCCAAACAATATGATAATATGAACCGTACACAAAGTTAATGGATTAGGATTCGCATAGCCTGGTACCACAGATATTAAGTTAATGTCGAACCTGTGCAATATGCAGTTCATATGAATAGTCCGTTTTAACAAAGAATTTGTTACCTATTTTAATGTTATTTCTACTAAGGATTGTCATAATAATTTTGAATCTCTTATATAACTACATTTAACTATTTAAAAAAATGTGTGAAATAAGATTTTAAGGTTAATATTGATTTTTCTTTTGTTTTAAATTTAAGATAATGTATTTTTTGTCTACTATTTTATAGGCAATCTAGTCAATAATAATAATAATAATAGGATATAATTTTGGTTAATTAGGAAAATAGAATTAAGTTAAAATTAAATATTTTATGAATTTTTTCATTTGTTTGAGATTAGTTGCATGCAACTTAACTTGTAGAAAAGAGAAAAAAAATTCATACAGTTGGTATTTTTTAACCAATGGTGAAACTTTTTGATATGATACGTGAAAACAACACGAATTGGATGCAGACCAAAAATATTATGACACAATAACTTAGAATAGTAAATAGGGTGGGTTAGTGTTGAATTAAATCTGTGACGGATCCAAAATGATATGAAATGAACACAACTCCATATGACTTGATCTGCACCCTTATCCAATAAGTATGACCTTGTATTTTTATTTGGGCCTATTTTGATATGGTTTGCTGCTTTTAAATCTTGTTTATATTGGGTTATATCAAGAATTCAGGATTAAGGTTGATGTTATGAGTTTCAAAAACAGAGTTAAGAGAAAGAGTCGTCTCATTTTGATTTAAATTCTTTTTTCATTTGATGTTCACAGATGTAAGTTATTATCAAATAATGTAAATCTTTACATATTTATATTTAGGATTATGTTTCTCTTATATTCACATCTTAATACACATGATAGAACTTGTGCTCATGGAGCCCATCACATGATCCGTTTCGGTAATCTAAACTGTTCACTTTTTAAGATTTATTGAGTAGAATATTCATTCAAAAAATAAAAATTATCAGATATTGATAGTTATACGTATAAATCAATTTAGTATTACAAAAAATGAATAGTTATTTTTAAAATTATATTTGTCGTCCATTTTAAAAAATAAATAAATATGATTTAAACATATAGTTATCAATATTCAATCATCTTGATTTTTGTACGAATGTTCTATTAAACGAGTTTAAAAATATAAACGATTCGTTCTCGAATTAAGTACATTTTGTATTACTCTCTCTCTAAAAACCTCTACCCCCGAGCCTCACTTTTGGCCGGCCGACCGCCGCCTTTGGCTATGGCGGTCGGCTGGCCCAGCTCTCTTGTGTGTTTGTGTGCTGGTTTTTGTTTCTAATAAACTTGATTCCCACAATTTCTTTCCACTTTGGTGTCCTTTCTTTTGTTTCATCAGGGGGTGTCTCGGTTTGTTTGTTACGTATCAACAGGGGTGTTTATATTGTATCAACAGGGGGTTGTTTTGTATCAACAGGGTGCTTGGTTTAAGGGTCAAAACAGAGTAGAAGGAGGTCGGTTTTGGACCGGAATAGAGGTTGGTCAGATCTGGTTGGATCTTCATTCGGGTGCGCTTTTGCGAGTGGGAGTTTGAAGGATGAGCTCGGGTTCGGATCTATGGAGTCTGCTTCGGTGCTTTGTTTGGGGGGAACTAGGGTGTTGAAGTTGATCTAGATCTGTCTAAGATTTCATTCGAGCGCTCCTTTTCGAGTGGGAGTTTGAGGGGTGAACTTCATCCAGATGTATGGTGGTGTCTCGACAGTTGTTCGTTGTTTTAGAGTGGAGCTGAGTGTGGAGTTTTATCCAGCCATAGAGCCGTTGGCTATGGAGTTTTTCCGGCCAAGGAACTGTCTCGGTAGCATGTTGTCAGGAGTGGGTGAGCTTGCGGATAAAGTGGCAGAGGTGAGTTTGGAAATCCAATGGTTGGAGGTGTTTCCGGCCATAGTTTCAGTCAAGGGAGATTGACAGTCTGCTTCTGTTGGGGTTGGGGCTTCCGGCCATAGTTTCAGTCAAGGGAGATTGACAGTCTGCTTCTGTTGGGGTTGGGGCTTTGTGTGGGTATGGAGGCTATGGAGTTTTTCTGGTCAAGGGAGTTTTTCTGGTCAAGGGAGATGTCCTCGGCAGGAACAGAGGAGCGTGCACAGAAGCGTGCAGGAGCAGAGGAGCGTGTAGCAAGTGGGCGTTGTAGCAGGTGAGCGTTGGAAGTTGGAGCAGCATAGGTGATAAGTTTTAGTTTCAAAAATAGCAGGTGGGTGGTTGGCTTTGGGAATGCAGTACCATAGGCGTGGCTGTGTGCAGCATAGGCGTGGGCAGCAAAGGCGTGGAGTGCAGCAGCATTGGTAGTGCAGTAGGTGATTAAAATTATTGGGTTACCACCTTGGGTGTTAGAATAAGTTTTTAGCAGTTTTGGTGTTTTGGTGGGTTGATTTTGTGGGAATCTTGTATTTTATTTTCTGTTAAGTCATTCTTTACGTTTTTTTTGTTTTAACAAAAAAGAAAAATCGTGAGGCCAAGGGGTTGGTTGTATGGTTGCGAGTAACAGTAGTAGGAGTATTTTATACTTCCGAATTTCTCTCAGTGCATTTCATCTTCCTGTACTTTTAATTTCATGTTGATTAAATTTTCTTTGCTGATAAAAAAAAAATAATAATAATAAAATAAAATAAACGATTCAAATCATTAAAATTGATTTTAAAATGACCTTACTAATCTCAAATGTTTTTTTTTTCAAATTGAGATGATTCCTTCAAAAGAAGCTCAACTCTTATATTTATTCTGCTTTACTTTATTTTATTTGTTTTTAGCAATCTTTGCCTTTTGGCATGACAATGTGTCGCAGCCAGACAACAGAAAGAAAGAAAAAAAAAATTCACCTCTGGCAGGACAAGTTACAATGTATGGTCCTAATGACCAAAAATATCTAACTAAAAAACAAGGCTAAGAAGGTGATAGTTTCAAACTCCACACGTAATTGTGAAGAAAAAGAGGAAAGTGCCAAACATATTGAAAACATTCTCTAACTAAAAAACAAGGCTAAGAAGGTGATAGTTTCAAACTCCACACGTAATTGTGAAGAAAAAGAGGAAAGTGCCAAACATATTGAAAACATTCTCTCTGCGCTCTGTTGAATTCTAGTGTTGATTGATTGTTTCTTTCGAGTCCAGATATTCTCCAGCTCTCCCTCCGATCAACGGTCAGGATTTGACCACGTCATCCCTAACAAAAGCTACGGCTCAGATTAGCTAACAAAAAAAATAAATAAATAAATAAAATTGAATTCAGCACAGCAAATCAGTGACAAAACAAAAATTTCCAGTTGAAAGAGACAACAAACAAAAAAAGAGAGATAAACAAAAAAGGAGAGAGGGGGAGGGAGGGTTGTCCAGCGACTACCGTCCGGCGATCGCCGGCAATTTCAGCAGCAACTAATAGCAGTAACTTCAGCACAAAAAATGACAAAAAAAAAAAAAAAAAAGCGGCAAAACAGCACCAACACAGCAGCACTTTCAGCACAAAATAACAGCAAATCAGCAACATTTTCAGCAGCAACAAATAAGATTAATTTCAGCACAAAAAATGACCAAAAACCAGCAGCAAAACAGGGCTTGATTCGCGTTCTCCGGAGCTCTGGTTCGCGGCAGAAATCTTCGGAGTAACGATGATGTGCTAAGGGAGAAGGAGACAAACAGTGGAAGAGAGGGACAGATCCCCTGGACTAGTTTCTTTCTCCCACTTAGATTATTTGCTTTTATCATCACTAACTTGATTGTTTCTTTCTCCCAGTTCGATTCAGTTGCTTTTATCATCACTAAAACAAAGATAACGATGGACTTCTTATAATTTATTTTTATTTTTTTTGGTTTGACCGCTTATAATTTATTTATTTTAAGTTTTATCAGATTATTTAGTATGATTTTTATTTAATTTATTAACTAAAAATAATTTAAATAAATTTAAAAAAATTAAAAGAAGGGGTGTTTGTGCTTTTGATTTTACTTTTAAATATTAAATTTTAAATTTATAATAAATTACACTAAATAAGAAGGATGAAGAGATGAGATTACAATAATTCTTCGTCCACCGCAAGACGAAATTGCTTGAAAACCATACACGTCACGCCACGTCATCAAGCTCAATCATCATCAAGTTTTAAATATTATAAATCTACCCCTATAAATTGAAAAAATTACAAAAAATAAAAATATTAGAAAAAATTATATTTGTGTAGAATCTTATAAACTATAGGGAGACTTATTTATAAATCTTTTTTCAGACACTTATGGTAGGCTACGTCCTGTGTAATTTCTTATAAAGTCTCAAATCCTATTTAGATAGGAATGTATTCCACAATATCATACATAAACATAACGTAACGTGACACTTACATAAACGTAACGTGACACCTATATAGACGTAACGTAACGTGACACCTATATAAACGTAACGTGACACTTACATAAATGTAACGTAACATGCCACGTTCCGTTTCGCAAACTTAATGAGTTCTTATTTTTTTAAATTGAATGCGAAAATGTTGCTGGTTTATATTGGTGTCATGTTACGTTTCATATAAATATGATCTATGCAACATTCAATTTCCTATATAGAAAATTGAATGTTGTCATAGATCATAGGTGTCACGTTACGTTACGTTTATGTAGATATGATTTATGGCAACATTCAATTTCCTATACCATAGATCATAGGTGTCACGTTACGTTTATGTAGGTGTCACATTACGTTACGTTTATGTAGATATGATCTATGGTAGGAAATTGCATGTTACCATAGATCATAGGTGTCACGTTACGTTTATGTAGGTGTCACGTTACGTTACATTTATATAGATATGATTTATGATAACATTCAATTTTCTATATATAGTTTTACTATTATTTATGATATTAACAACTGATATTGAGGGTAAATGTGTCAACAAACTTCCCATAGGACTTATGGGAACATAAGTTTTTTAGTAGGACCATATATAGTATAAGTCTCTTTAATAAGACTTATAAATAATTTTTCCTAAACTATAATTATATATATATATATATATATTTAATTACAGCTCTTAAAGCTAGAATAAAAAATAATTTAAATTATATTTATGAATTAAAAAATTTCTTTTGACTATTACTTTTGAATAATCTATAATAAATTATAGTCGAAAAATTGGTAGCATTAAAGAAAAAATATCCTTAGAATAAGCAAGTATAGATTACCAACAAAAGTTTTTATAAGACTTTAATATTAAATTAAATCCGCATTTGAAAATGATATAAGAGTCTGGTTTCTCGGCTTGGCAATAACATTTGCATGAATACTAAATATAGTGAAGAAGTAGAATCTGATAACTTAAATAATAATACTTCTTTACGAATAATAATAGAACAAAATAATACTTTACTTAAGTTATTAAAACAAATTAGCGAAAGTCTTAGAAATAATCAAATTATAAATAATATGCGAAATTAGACATTTAATACAATACCCAGAAAAACAAGTAGTTATTTTAGGCGAAAAATAAAATATTTAGATTCGTATCTTTACCAGTATAAAGTAAATAATCCAGAAAAATCGTTCGAATTAGTTTCATCTGAAAATCAAAAAAATAATGGAGTTAAGTAAATATAATCTAGAATAGTTAGAAGAAATTGCTGAAACAGAAAATGATAATGAAATGAAATATAAAATCATATTAGAAATAGCTGAAGAACTAGATAAAATAGATGAAGAGATAATAGAAGAGATAAATAATAATATAATAGAACTAGAAGAAAATATATAAACCATTAGGAATAATCAGTTTGGAGAAATGAAACGCATTCCCCCTGAAGACTTAGAACAAGTAATGGGAAGTAAAGATGCAGAAAAAGAAAAAGAAAATAATATCCTAGAATACTCCGAAGAAACTAATAATTTTAATGTTGCTGAAATGGCTGTGATAAAACAAGAATGAAGTAGTTCATCTGCTTCAACTAATCCAAATCATCTAGATTTTAGGAACTTCACCAAACAACAACTAAAAGATGGTGCTATAAATTATGATTACAGAAGAAGAAAGGGATATTATAGTTATCTAAATAGAGGATCATATGCTAGAGGAACACCTAATTTTGCAAACTTTACCCCTAGAAAAGAAGTACTTTTATGAGAAGTATTACTAAAACCAATAAGTAATACAAGATGTTTATTTAATTATTTTCTGTGAAATGGAACTGCATTAAAAGTTAAGTGGGGTAATGGAGGTTCTGGTATGGAAAATCCCTCTAGCATCATTAAACAGATCCGTTACAATGCATTGAGGACAAGTAGTGTAAATTTGTAATCCATCTGCAGATTGAGAACCAAAATTTGCTAGAGCATCTGCACATCCTCAGTTGACTCAGCGAGTCCGGAAGGTCGAAAATAGCTAGGAAAGGTGGGCTGTGCAAGGATGATGTCAGCAGGGTGGAAAATGAGGTCAGCGGCGCACGTTAGCAGGAAGGGCGTGCGGCGCACGGTAGCAGAGGGGACTGGCAGCGTATGTTAGCAGAATGGCGCACGCGGGTGCACAATAGCGGAACGGCGCACACGCGGCTCACGGTAGTCGAACGGCGCACGCTGGTGCACGGTAGCAGGTACGGCGCACGACAGGGCAGGATGGAAGGCGCGTGGCAGCGCGTGTGAGAGTGGCAACGGAAGCAGAGACGCGCCGAGAGAAGAAGCGGCGCGTGAGAGCGCGTGAAGGCTTGTTTGGTGATGGGCTTGGTGCCGTTGGGATCGTAGGGAAATTCCGAGCTGTTTGGTATAGTCCACTGTGTACGGAACTAAGACTTAAAATTGAGGGATGCCAGAATTGTGTTTCTAAGCTCTGATACCATGTGAGTTTGGTAACGAGGGAGAGAAAAAGAGAGGGACTGAAAGTTGGTGTTATTGTATTATGTTTCAGTGTAATTACAAGAGAGCAAGCTCCCTCTCTTTATAGAGAGGAGAGGGAGACAATTAGCATCGGATGCCTGGAATTAACTAAAGCTAAAGTGAAGTTCCCTTCTTTACAGCTACACATGGAGCCTTTACAGATGCAAGGTTGCCTTTACAGATGCAAGGATACAGCTATACATAGTGGGGGATATATTATATGTATATTATATGTTAACATGTTTCAACAATAACATTTGAAAGACCCATATCAAAAGCAATTTTCAGTCCATCTCTAATGCCCCATAGCTCAGCTATGATGCTCGAGTTGATGCCAATATTTCTAGAAAAACCAGAAACGCATCTGCCGGAGCTGTCTCTAATCATTCCACCACCGCTAGCCTGGTTGCCTTTTGCAGCCCCATCGGTTTTGAGTTTGAGGAAGCCAGGATCTGAGGGTTTCCAAACAATGTTTTGGGTAGTTTTGGTCTTGGTGTGCCAATTAAGGTTTGAGAGGTGTTGTCAATCAATGGCAAGGGCAGTGGTGTGGTCAGGTTTGAAATGGATTGGGTTGGCAGGGGTGAAAATGAAGGAATTTCTGGATTTCCAAATTTCCCAACAGACCAAAGGGAATAACACAGACCAATAGGTGGCATTGTGAGTTTCTTTTGATTGACAATTGAGTTTAAGGCAGTTCTTAAGATTGAGATCAAAAGAAGAGGTTAGAGAGGAGGGAATGCCAATGGAGTTCTAATGAATTCGAGCTGAAGGGCAGTTCCTTAGCACATAGACAGTTGTTTCAGGGGCTGAACCACACAAAGGTTGCAAGTGGGATCAGGAATTATTTGTCTAGTGAAAAGAAGAGTTCTTGTTCTAAGCTTCTGGTGAAGAGATTGCCAAATGCAGTGGCGACTGCGAGGGGACGAATTAATTTTCCAAACCCACAGCCAATTGGGAAAGGGAGGGCTAGCCATGAAGTTTTTCGCAAGGAGGTAGGCTGACTTGGTGCTGAACTCACCAGTTGGTGAGGGGTTCCAGATGTTGAGGTCACATCCAGTTTCATAACAAGGCAATTGGACATGCTTCTTATGGACTTAATCAGATCTGGGGGCAAGGTGAAGGAGATTGTCGAAAAGTCCAAAGAATTATTCACTCAACAATCTCTGACTTTGAGAGAATCCTCATTTCTCTGCAATGGACCTTCAATTTCTTTTCTGATGGGACCAGAATCAGACCAATTATGGAACCAAAAGGACGTACTTGTACCACTTTTCAGGAGGATTTTGGTGCCTTTTTGGAGTGTGTCATTGCCTATTTGAATACCCCTCCAGGTTGAAGATGGTCTAGGGGTTATTCTATTTGGGTCGTGATATTTGGCATTGAGAAGTTTGACCCAAAGAGCATCCTTTTCTTTTTGATATCTCCAATTGAACTTAGCCATTGAAACTCTATTAACCAAGTTGGTTTGTCTCATGCCTAGACCTCCTACAAACATAGGCTTGGTGACTGTGTCCCAACCTATAGCATGAATTTTCCTAGTTTCAGAGGTGGTGCCCCAAAGGAAGTCTCTACTAAGCTTATCAAGGGTGTTGCAAATGGATTTGGGCAGAGCATTGCATTGCATGACATAACAGGGAATAGCAGCATTGACTGCTTTGATGAGGGTTTCATGGCCTGGTTTGGA